AGCCAGCCAGCCAGCCAGCCAGCCAGCGAACAGATTTGAATATATCATGAATTTTCCTATGCTACCATGATGGTCTTTGCTTTAATATCCAATCTAATCTTCAGAACTAAAATAAAATTCAATTGCTAGTTGCTGGGTTTTTTTTTTTTTTTTGCTTCAGAAGATAAAATATGGAGGAGCCCCATTTTTCCTTTCTTTCAAGAACAAAATAATTGTTGGTTGACTCCAATATCCCATTAGAGTTAATACTGGGAAAACAATTTATTGACATTGCTATTCAGTTTTCTTCCAATGATGTCGAGGTAGCATCCAACCCCTCTGTTATCATGTTATCTATCCTATGAATTCCCCAGCTTCACTGAGGAGTGAGCATTTGAATCTAATCTTTTCCAATCCTAGTTCAGCATTCTCTTCTTGCTTTATTGTTGTTTAGCAAACACTTGTTTTTATGTTCTTAACAAAAATAAGAATATAATGGTGTCATAAGATGTTACAAAATAAGACACCATATTTGCATTATCAGAAATATACATGCTAAAACAGTGGTTACAAATAAGACAATACTATTGTTATAACATTATTTAAAAAGATGGCAGGAAGATAAGTTGAACATTAAATGATAAGAGTACTTGATTTATAGGGAAGCATACTTCAAAGTATAGGATACACTCAAATGAAAATACAACTTTACCTTATCCTAAACCAAACTTATCCTTATAACTATAGTCTGCTTTGATTAACAGGAGCATCTAAAGGTCTCCAGGAGAAATCTTTCCTAGCCCTGCTGCGATTTTTTTGACTTGATTATGATTAAACATAGTACCTTCTTACAATGCAAAGCTTGGATTTACACTGCATTTTTCAACATATAGCTAAACTTGCAAGTTGTGTTTTATACAGGGACCTTGAATTAGAAGCAGCTCATTGTTGTGTATATACCCAGTAACTGGATTTAGATTTGCTACCATGAAATGCTCTGTCATCTGAATTAAAGCAGGACTCCATATTGAAATGTTTTTTTAATTTTTATTTATTGAGAATTTTACATAAAATAAAAGACAAATATGAAGAAAAAGAAAGAGAAAAGAAAAACTAAAGTTATGAAATATGACTTCTGACCTTCTCTTCAACAGATAATTTCAATTTTATAATCCCTTCTCCCTCTTAGATGTTATATTTCAGCCCCTTACTTGATCCACATCTTTTTAATCTTCAAACCTGTAAATCATCATCATTTTTTTCTTCTTTCAGCAAAAAGTCCATATAAGGTTTCCAGTGTTTCAAAAAAGTTTCTGTCGTTCTTTTCTCTTACAAACAGGTCGGCTTTGCCATCTCAGCAAATTCTGACATTTTCCTCCACAGTTCCTCCACTGTGGGAATTTCATTATTCTTCCATCATTGAACATAAGTCCCAATAAAAAAGCATTCTGGTTTCTTCACAGTATTTACCTTTAAAATCCTTTGTATCATCGTTTGGATTTGTATCCAAATTTTCTTAGCTTTTCACAAGTCCACAATGCATGATAAAATGCCCTTCATGTTTTTCACATTTCCAACACTGTTTTTGAAATACCTTTGTACATTTTTGATAATTTCCCTGGTGTAATATACCAGTGATACATTAGTTTATAAAAGTTTTCTCTTAAGTTATGACACAGTGTGAATTTAATACCAGTTACCCACATTCTTTCCCAAGTGTCTGTCTATATATTATATCCAAAATTAATAGTCCATTTTGTCATGCAATCATTAATTTATTCTTCTGTTTCAAATTTTAACGGTTTAGACATTTTTGCTATTACCATTTATTCATGATTTGTACATAATTCAATTTCAGATTCCATTTTGTTTTTCAATTCCAATCTTTTATCTATATTAAACCTTTCTTTTAACTGAGCATATGAAAATCATTGAAAACTATGTCTTCTGCTGTCAATTGTTCTCTTGACTTCATCTTAAATTCTATATACATAGATGTTTTATAATATCATTTAGACGGGATTTAACTTTTTTTGGTTTTTTTGTACAGTCCTGCAGATGAAGATATTTGGCAGCAAAACAATTCTCAGTCCTCCTTGATGCCCCAGTTTCCAGAAATGAGCAACAGCAATATAGGAGGTTACCTCATGTCTCCAGATCTTTCTGCTCCTGTGCAAGATGATTCACGCTTCCAGACAAAAGGAGTCCAGCCTGGGTCATTGAACAATCTGGAGAATGCAACAGCTGGACCACAACAGGACCTTTCAGTTAGTGGTAGCATCCAAACTTTTCACAATTATGGTGGGGATGTTGCCAACAAAAACCAGTTAGTGAAAGAAAAACAACTTTCTTTTATGCCAAATTCTGATGGGTCTCCCAAAATAACAAAATCTATGGTGGACAGTAGTTTTTTGCCACACAGCTATCTTGCATCATCTTCTGGATATGACAGTCATAACAGTCCAAATCAGCAAAACCAGGGATTGCACATGTACCCACAACCCCCTCTTCCTGAGAAGAAGAGGATATCTGAGGGAGAACGTTCTTTTGGCTCTGCCTCACCTTCTTCGAGTGGTTTCTCCAGCCCACATAGTGGAAGCACTCTCAGCATTCCATTTCCAAATGTACTTCCAGATTTCTCTAAAGTTGCAAGCCCACCACCATTATCAGGTATGTTCTGGGTGTATTCCAGAGGGGTAGCAGCTCCTCTCACTATTTAGAATAAGTGTTTCTCAGTGTACAAATAAATGCATGCAAAATGCATAGAGGAGGCCTTCAATCTGTATGTGTTAGGATCCTCTCATACTTACACTGAATGTGTAGTCAGTAGTGCAGTGTGCTTTTCCAGTGTAATTCAAATGCCTCCTCACACACTTGCATTGTGAGATGGGAATGAGGTGCTACAATGAACAGTAATAGTGATGCTTAACATACTTCTGAATGTCCCTACCTTATAAAAACTGTCAACTTTATCCAATGACATACGGTGTGCTTTTTTAAATCATTATTTATTTTTCTTTTTGTCTTACAGAAAATATGGGTGATAAACATGTGACTGTAAACTTTGTTCAAGACACTTCCAAATTCTGGTATAAACCGGAGATTTCAAGAGAACAAGGTATGCTCTTTAAACACCTTCCATAGCATACAGCTAGCTTTTTTATATTCAGTTATGAATATTTATCATTCACTGTTCCTTTTCAGTTTTACTCTAATTAGTGTTCAAGTTTTGCTAGATATTACCATCCCTTCCATAACCCAGTTTAAATGCCAATTATTAAAAGCGGGATCTGTGCCAGTCTTATTTGTATTTGCAGTTATTCCCAATTAACTTTCAAGAATTATTATGCAGGTTGACATTTAGGGACCGTGTAACTATTCTGCTGAAACAGTCTCTTCCATCAAGCCACAACCTCTGGCTATATTAGAATCCATTGGGTTATTCATAGGGTCTCTCATATCTTTAATTATGGCCAAACATAAGCAACTACTAGAAATAATGTTAAATGTATTTTTTAAAAATGTAGTTGGAACTATATATTAGGTAGGTAGATAGCTTCCTTCCTTCCTTCCTTCCTTCCTTCCTTCCTTCCTTCCTTCCTTCCTTCCTGCCTTCCTTCCTTCCTGCCTTCCTTCCTTCCTGCCTTCCTTCCTTCCTGCCTTCCTTCCTTCCTGCCTTCCTTCCTTCCTGCCTTCCTTCCTTCCTGCCTTCCTTCCTTCCTGCCTTCCTTCCTTCCTGCCTTCCTTCCTTCCTGCCTTCCTTCCTTCCTGCCTTCCTTCCTTCCTGCCTTCCTTCCTTCCTGCCTTCCTTCCTTCCTGCCTTCCTTCCTTCCTGCCTTCCTTCCTTCCTTCCTTCCTTCCTTCCTTCCTTCCTTCCTTCCTTCCTTCCTTCAGCTCAAGGCAGTGCCCATAGCACTCCCAGTCCCATTTTTTTTGCACAACAACCCTATGAAGCCCTGGGCTGAGAGAAAATGACCAGCTCAGTCACCCAGTGAGCTTCCATGGCTAAAGGTGGATTTTAATCTGGATCTTGCCAGTATCAATCCTGTACCTTCAGGGACACCATATTGGCTCCTAGAATGGAATATAATATGGAGGTCATAGTCTAGTGCCTTGCACAATCACGCTACAACATTTCTGACAAATCACCAGTCATAACTTACCATAGGCAGAAGCATATCTGATATATTTTGAGATAGTTTCTTGCATTTCTATAGATGGTTTGCTATTGACAGTCTAGTTCAGTTGAAATCTGCTTCCTTACAGTTTCCACTGGGTTCTAATCCTGCTCTCTTCTGCATACTAAACATATCCAGTTATTTTACACATCATTTGTAGGATATAATTTCCAGAACTTCCATCATCTTCACTACACACAGTCCATACATACTGGAAATTGGATGATGATGATGATGATGATGATGATGATGATGTGTCCAAAACCAAACAACATATGTTACATACAGACAAAATCATAGTTCTTTTCTAGGTTCTGGACATTATGCTTCTATTACTTCTACTTAAGACAATAATTTTTATTTACACTCACTCATAGCAAGAGCTTTCCACTGAAATACGAAACAACAGTTGTGTTTCAGTGTGCCAGAAGCATCATGTCTGAAAAAGATTGTAATTACAAAAAAAAATCAATTCAGGGAATTTGTAGGTGAATTTTATGTAGTATAACTGATTTTTATCAGTATTCTATGCTATATTTTATTATTGGGG